TAAAGCGTTTTGAAGTAAGAGCTGAATAAAGAAAAGAGGCACAATCTTTTTGGTCCAACACTAATGGATTCCTAAAAAAAACAGGAAAGCGTCATATTGACACAACTGACTTAGACACATCCTCTAACGCTTGGAGCATTTTGACACTTGTAGTACATCTGCGATCAAAACCGATGCCGTGTGCGACTGAAATTATTTGTTTGCTTTGTGACTCGAACATCTTTCAGGAAATCCATGAATTGAAGCTGATTACTTCTTAAATGTTCAACCCCCACTATATCTGTGAATTAGTCAAAAGACTTGTGATGTGTAATCCTTGCCTTCATGCTGACAGCGTGACACAACATGTTTGGGAGCTTTTCATTAGAGGCTCCAGCCTCAGCGGCAAGATTGAGTCGCTGTAACTACTAAAAGATAAGAGCTCATCCATCCAACGCTGGCTGACTAAACACAGAAGGTCAAACGCAGAGTGAGGTAATCTGTAATATCCTGAGTGTTAATCCCAAATTAAGCTTCAGCCCACACACCAGGCCATGTGCTGCTTAACACATCTGCTACAGGGAAGGGCAGAGCCCGGTGACAAACGGGCACGAGGTGGGAGGCTGACGCTGACCTTTTGCGTGACTCTGCCTCCGTGTGGATATTTGGTGATGATGCTGTGTTTCAAAACATAGGAAGTGCTGCTTGGACACAAGGAGACTGCTGATGCATGTGCAGAGCAGAGATATTGTATTTACACACACGTAGAGCATCGCTTGAGCTAAAATGAGGAGAAATTGCCTTGAGTCATACCTCAGGCAGGATGTTAGTTAAACCGAGAGTTTAAATACACACAAACACACACACACACACTTAGAAACAGATCCAGAGTGATGCTGCAGAAAAAGGCGAACATTACCAACAAAGTCAAACTAAATACAGACACGTTTTTTATAATATTTAGAAATTAGGGTTTGCATTTTCTCTTTAAAATAAAATTGAAGTCACTGAAGCTGCATTTGTTTGCAGTTCAAAGATTCACCCTGATACTGAAGAAACCTTTTATGCAATCACACATTTAGTTTTTGAAACACTTCGTCTTGGATCGAGTTAAGAGTCGAAGGAGGAATGTATCACGCACTTATAATGGCTGCACTGCATGCCTGAGGGTATTTAAAGATTACACTCAGCTGATAGCCAAGCAGCTGATTAATCAGCAAGTGGCTGTAAAGTTATTAAAGGGGACCTAGTTTCTGTCATAAATATACTGCTATAGCTCTGCATGCTCATATTAAAGATAGCTTCAAATAATGAGGTCAGTCTATGTACAAGTACTCTCAATGATTCAAAAGCTCATGCTTCAGAAAGTTTTTTCTACTTTTGGATCTGTGTGACATCAGCGAGAAGGGGTGGTTGTCTCTAACGTGGTCATTTCCACCGCAGCCCCACAACCTACAGTTCAGCCAGCAGAGAAGATCATATGAAGTTGGTTCAGACAATGAGTGAACTGAGGGCCTGCACAAAGGCCCACAAGAAGAAAACAGAAACGGAAATGAGCACAGTAAATGAGACAGACAAGTCAGCTAATAAAGACGTAACTTCAGTTCTCTGAAATAATCCTCTGACGTCAAAAGAGAAAAATGAATAATCCTGGAGCTATGATTATAAAGAGTTTAGTTTTCTTATTAAAAAAGTTTCTTTTTGTCTGTTTATGAGAACATTTTCATGTCAGTCCTCAGCTTTCTCCCTCATTTCCTGTCTCTCAGCAGAGCTCCCATCAAGCTAGGACAAAAAAAAAAAGCTTGCATCACAACTTTCATGTCCTCATTGGTGCAGTGTGCTTCATTTAACCCAGACCAAAGGAAAGATATAAAGATATGAATCATATTCCCACTGATGTTTTATAAACAAAGTTATTAAGTAATGCAGCTTTCTTGATGTAATCCTTCATCCTCGATGCCTCATCAGGACCCTCATGACTCACAGCGGATCACGCTGCTCTTCCTGTGCTTTCCACTCATGCTAAAATCACACATCTGCTATCACATAACATCGTGGTTTTCTTTTTGCTTTTAGACTGCACCACAGTAAACAAAATGACATTTGGAAATATAGTCTCAGTCCAGTTGTTTCTCACCAGGTTCCAATTGGTAGCTATCTCACCTGTCCAAACAAACCAGTCAGGTGTGAAAATGCTTTTAGTCATCTGCAAAGCTCTAAAAACGCACACTTTATACCATCTTCTAGTCCCTTTATTCATTTCCTTTGTAATGCAGACTATCTTTTTGAATTTTTTTGTCCCCCAGGACATCTTCACAGAGCCTATACACAGCTGATTGCAGATGTTTCACGCAGGTCACAGAAATATGAAAACAAGTGGTGTGTGGGCTCTTCTTGCGTGAGCCATTGTTTGTCCTTCCTCCAGTTACAGAGAAAAGTTATAACCTATAAAGAACGAAGTGTGTTCAAATCAATAAAAATCATCCACAGCAGCCATTGTTGTCTTTTCACCCTTTTGCCTCTTTGTGTTGAACTCCAATGTCAGTTCCTTTCCCGTTCAGGCCAGTTTTTTAACCAATCAGCATTCAACCTAAGAACATCCCCGTTAAGCTACTACTTGGGTTTTGTAGGACTGCAAGCAAACACTTTGGCAAATCCTGCATACGGTAAGTGGCACCACTTGTCCAGGACTCCTGGTGAGTTGAGGGCAAAGACTGAATCAAGCTTGGGTTTAACTGAAGGAGACATTTTTAAAGCTCCTACTGACATCTACTTGTTTTTGTTTTTGTTTTAATTACAACTCTGCTGAGTTTCCCTTGGATTTCTATTGTTGGCAGTGTGGAAAAGCCTCTTACAGCTAAAAAAAATTCGCGCTTGTGCGGACAGCAGTCACTCTGTCCCATCAGAATGTATCCCCGGGAAAATCGCAGCATTAGTCGACAGATAACAGAGTTTGCGAATCATATCCTGCAACGCAAGAGCATGTGGCTGTGCGTGTGTTTATACAGACGAGGATTTGTGCTCGTAATCCCACAGACATTCAACGCCAATTATGGAGTGACCTTAATAAAGAGCGGGATTAATTTCACTTATTAAGAATTTCAAACATCAAAGTCACCCTGAACCCTCCAGCTGCCCGATGCCTCGAGTCAGATGACAACTGGGCAATAGCTAGTGTTATTTTCACGGCCATTACACACTGCAATTCTTAAAGTTTGTGTGTGTGTGTGTTTTGACAGCTCCAACAGAATGGACTTGGCTGAAGAAGCAGAGATGGTCTGCCAAGGATCGTGTCTGTCTTTCAGTCATCAAACACACACCAGACACACACAGTAGAAATATTTCTCTCTCCTTGACTGTCTTTCCCATCTTAAGTGTCCTCACAGCAATCTACATTGGTCAATTCAAAGATTTCTTTCTAATTTTCCCCTCTTTTTCTTCTCTCTTCTTTGAGCGCTCCTTTTTTTCCTGCATCTTTGCTTTTCTCTATCTTCACTCATCTCATCCCAAAAACTGCATGCCTAGCCTGCAGGGAAATCCTTACTTTTGCTGTTTTTAAATAGTGAAGCAGTGAGGAAAAGGGGGAACAGCACTTTA